TATCTCCATCACATGCTTAACTCAAAATATAGAAGAAAAAAGAAAATACCAGGGTTTTCCCTATGACAGCCTGATTGTATGCAGAGCTGATCGTGTGTTTGACAAGTAAATGTGCAGAGGAGTGTCGCTTAATGCTTATTACACAGCAGTCCAATATCGGGGTTGCATCAGGTGGGAGAGGCATGGCACCAGTGCACTAGCAAAACAGCCGCTGGATCCCATCCCTGGTCCGTTGAATGGAGAGGAAAGAACCCACTCAAAATCAACCCTGGCTTTTGCCAGAGTGAATCCACTGGGGACTGTGCTGCCCACACTGCCCACATGCTGCCCACACAGGAACACATGATGCCTGGGATCTGCATCCTGCATGCAGCCTTGCATCTCTGTTGGCTTTGCCACAGCGGACGGCCAAGCGGGGAGCTTTGTGTGTGGCAGGTGTTCATACGCATGGACAAAACCACCAGAGGGCCCCCATTTCCTTGTCCTCTGTGGCACAGCCAGCAATGACTTCCAGGGCACATCCAGCAATTCTTCTTCAGGACTTCTTCCCGGTAAATCCTTCATAGTCTTCATGACCATAACATCCCAAGGGGAGCAATGAGAGCAGAAACATGCATCATCCACATAGTGCACTGGGCAGATGTCTACAGAGAGCAAACCACAACTCTCCGCCCAGGAAGGAGAGAGGAAAGCGGATGAATATTCTTTCATCAAACATCAAATAGCGTGGATGGGGAGATGGGGGACTCCTGCAAGGGCAGCCACAGATTCATGGGTGGCAGCAGCCTCCCATGGTTCACTGCATAATGCACAGGGTTGAGAAACAGGATATAGGAGATCAGGCCCCACTATGGAGAAGGGGAAAATATGACCCCACTCAAGGTTTGCATGCCTGCTCTCAAAAAAGGCATGTCCAGGGTAAATGTGATTTGGAATCCCACTGCAAACATCACAGAGCCTTTCCACAACAAATTAGCAACAGTATCCATCATGGGGCTTTTGTCTTCCCTGGCCTCAGTTCCAGGGATGCCCGGAGTACGGTGTCTGGCGGAACAGTTTACAATTTGCATTCAGGAGGTCCCAGGTGAGAATGCAGGATACCAGCCTATACTAAAAGACCCTTACCTCACACACTACCAAGCCAATGAGGAAGAAGAGCTGCATGGGCCAAACAGCCTTTCGGCCCACTCTCCCTCCTGCTATTTTACCCCATAGGACAACAGACAAGCCTTACTGCTGCCTTTCCTCCACACCTCTCCTTCTCCCCTAGGCCTTCTCCCTTATGCCCTTTATTTATTTTATACAGTCCTTTATTTGAAAGTGTCCTCTGACTGAAGGGCTGTCCAGTCCAAGTTTGGTTTAAAGAGAAAGGGCTCTCAGAAGGAAGACCTGGGTCTGGAAGTTTGCCACCAACGGCACCTGGACAGCAGATTGAGCGAGGTGCACAACTCAGTCTCTCACATAATGGTGAGATGCACTTTATTTCCATTTAAACTATAATCACGATCTCTCAATTTATGGCAGTAAAAGAGGGCACACAAATCTTATGCAAATTACATTTCCTTTTGGCTTTATTTTGGCTGTGCCACAATGAATGATGAAGGTAGCTGTTTTATGTGGAGAGTTGCCCATACTAGCAACAGACTCCCACCCACACAGAGAGGCCTGTCTGCTCACAGGCCAGGGCCAGTTATGAATTACCAAAAAAAAAAAAAAAGAGGGCACCAATTCATTCTGCTGAATATGGAAGTTGGGGCTAACGAGCATTTCCCTGATATGCCCCTCATGTGGAAAATGGAGTGGTTGTCTGTGGCTAGGCAAACATTTTTTCTCTCTTTTTTTCATTTTCATTCAGGACAGGTAAAAATACTTCTTCACAAGGTGTATAGTCAAACTTTGGAATTAGTCACCACAAGATAAGAAAAAATAGTCAAATTCACAGGGGTGGGTGGCGGGAAAGAAGTCTGTCAAGGACTACTGGTCATGATGGCTATGAACTACTTCCAGTATCAGCCTGCTGGGGAATTCAGGAAGGATGGTGCTGCTGCTCTCAGGACCTATTTGTGAGTTTCACCCGGGCAGCTGCTTTGGTCTAATGAAGCCTGAAGACTCCTACAGAAAGAGAGAAAGAAACAAGCATTTCTTCTGGGAAAAAAGTCACTCTCTAATGCCCTTCTTTTCAGTTCTCAGTTGTTTCCAGAGATATTTTGCCTGATATAAATCTGCCTGAGATATTCCTAGACGATATTGGAGTCCATCTTCTGATACGTAAAAGTAACCCTCATACTTTTATAATGCAGGGATAGCAGGTCACATTAAATTTCTTTCAGAGAAAGTGGATTAAAGGGCTTGTAGAGTTTTGCCAAGGAATATGATTTAAAAGCAAAATCCTTGGGAGCTCTCCAGTGACCTATGTCAGTGGCTTTGGTCCAGTTCTGAGAAAAGAGATGTTCACATCACCATGAATACGAGTATTAATTAGAAACACTGGTAGGCAGGAGGCCAAAAGCTGAATGGGTATGGACAATGAACCTTCCTGAACGATACTCCCTCCAGGCCAGGAATGCTCATACTGGCTGAAAAACTAAACATGTGATGAGGCTCGCTCCATCTCCACTGGAGGTTACCCACACAAATAAATGGGAATAGGCCACTGCAATATAAGGGATCTATAAGCTGGTATAAGTTTGCAGTAGGAAAGGATGTGAGTACATGACTTGTACTCACAAAACATCAGGTTCAGTCCCTGGCATCCCCATGTAGGGCAGAAAAAATCATGCTTGAATTCCTGGATAGATGGCTGCCAGTCAGTGCTGAAAATATTTAGCTAGCTAGATCAATGGTCTTACAGAACTTCCTATGTTCCAATGACCAGCGCAAAAGGAACTATGCAGGATCTGAACCAGTAAATAGTAAATCCATACACATATCAAGATCAGAACTATGGTGGTTTCACCAAGAATTCTGGAAAGAATCAGAAAGCCACAGAAATTGCTGATTAATGGAGGGACTTTTAGGATAAGATAGAAGAGAGACATCTGCTCCATTGCTTTCATTTTCTCAAATTCATTAGTGTAGGTCTGCTACTACTAATACATTCAGCAGGTGTTTAGTACCAGCCATGGTCTAAGTCAGTGATGGCGAACTTTTTAGAGACCAAGTGCCCAAACTGCGACACAAAAACCACTTATTTATCGCAAAGTGCCAACACTGCAGTAAAACCTGAAAACTGAGGTTTTAGTTAGAAAAAACACCTCACAGCCAGTCCAAGAATCAATCTCTCTCTCTCTCTCTCTCTCTCTCTCTCTCTCTCTCCCCCCCCCCCCCTCTCTCTCTCTCCTTGGCAGTGGACTGACTGGTCATGCGAAAGCTTGGATGAGTCATGGCTAATGGCGCCGCGACTCCTTTCCGAGCATGCGCGTGGCCCCTATGTGCGCTGTTATCCGATGCTCGGCTGCTGGGGCGACTTGCCTCGCGTGCCAACAGGGAGGGCGCCGCATGCCTGCTGTGGCACATGTGCTGTACGTTCACCACCACTGGTCTAAGTGAATCTTGCATGAGTTGATGGCCTCATGTCATACCAATGTTGAGCATTTCTGAGTGGCAGGTGCTGCCCCTGTTGAAACCCAACACATCTGGGAGGACCAGTCTGGGTAAGGCTGATCTTGGTAGAGCTGGTCTGGCCTTGTCCTAGAGCTTACTTCTACTACTTGTACAGAAATTTGCTTCTGCATTAGAGAGACAAGACAAAGAGGGCAGGTGAGCCATAAACAAAATTATATTAAAGTTGTTTAAATCCAAGATTTCCAGTGACACTCTTTCACATACAGGAACCCATTGCATGCCATTCAATACCCCCTGCACTCAAAGAATGTAAGACAATAAATTCAAAGACGTATGCGTATCCGTTGCACGCAGCAAGATGTGCTAGAGATGATCTTTGCTGTCACACCCCACATGCTGCATTTCACCTAGACAGCCATTTTTCAGTCCTGTGGATGAAGCAGTACAGATGGAGGAGAGGAGGAGGAGGCTGGGGCACTATCTGATAGTACATCAGCCCCAGCGTCCCCCAGCCTGCTCTCCAGGGTAAATTGTTGAATTTGGGGGGGGGGGGGCAGCCAGTGCAGTTCTTTCCACACTGGCTGTGAGGAGGTGGGGCTTTCAGAGTCCCATTGCTGCATAAGTGTTTCTGGTGGTGGTTGCTCTATCCAGTGGCCCTACCATGTGGGACCATGTGAGAAGAGTTTCCATACTGATCCTGCAGATTTCTAGATAAGGCAAATGCGAGTGTGGAGGTGCTGTTGACAGAATCAGGCTAATCAAACAGGCATGCATGGTGTGTGTGCTGTTCCTCAAAGCAACCCCCTTCAAAATGGGGGTGGCTGGCTGTAGTCCAGCTACAAGGTCCAGGCCACAAAGGTTAGTCCACTAGAGCATCTTGTGTGCAGGTACAGCATCAAATGGATCACCACAACTCAAAATAATGGTCTGCCTGTTTATAAATTGTTCTCAAGCCTGATCCTTAATTAAAGTCAGTTTTCTTGAGTAAATACATCTACAGCTGCTTTCAATAACTCACAATAAATTTTGTTCTGCTGATTTAACCTCTGTCTTCTCAATCATCAAGAGCCTGGTAAAATTCTTGTTAAAACCAGATGACTTCTAAGAAATGGTACTTTGCTTTTAAGGCAGACTTGAGATATCATATCGTGTTTGTGGCAGACTTTAAGCTAGAGCAAACCGTTCTGCCCATGGGCATGCCAAATGCCCTGCCATCAGAATGTTTGCAGAGAGATGGGAAACCAGAAAAGGTTTTGAAGGAATCTCTTAGTGCTTAAGGTCAGGTGAGGGCAGAGCTGTATACTATGTGTGGGGAATAAGATAGGACTTCTAAGTTCTATAGCCAAGAGACAGACTGACCACAGGAAATGGAACAAAGTACACAATAGATTACGAAGTGGGAGCCTGAAGAAATCAGTGGGCAGTGGACTGATGGAATAGGCCAGAGTGGCCAGAAAGTAAATCTCCAGATGTTATGGACTTCAGTTCGTGCATTCTTGACCATTGGCCATGTTGGCAGGGGCTTCTGTATGCTGAAGACCGAAACATTTGGAAATCTACCTCCTCATGTAGTCCTAGGGAAGTATGAGAAATTTGTTTCGGTTTGACTTTGATCACAATTTTACCCTTTTCATAACGTCTGGACTGGACATGGACTTGGGTGTAATCTACAGTTAAGTCCATCTATTTCCAAGCTTGCAATGTGACAGGAAAAAAGGAGTTTGAAAACATGCATATATTTGAAAAATGTGCACAAAAAACCTCTTAAAAATAAACCCAATCATACTAGCAGAAGAATGCACACATTTCAGAAATGTGCACAATTGAGGTTTAAATGTGGGAAAACATGCTCAGGAGTGCTCTTGGATTTTCAAGTGGAAAGAAAAAGGTTGCAATCTGATACAGACTGGGACAGAATAAACTTTAAGATGGAATGTGAAGAAGTTCTCTGAGCTTGAGTTTTGCTGATTTGCACATCCTGCACATATTGTATGTGGAAAACAAGGCAGGTGTGTGGGTGGGAGTGCAGAGGATTGCTTGCTCTGATATTAACGCTCAGATCAACACAGGGTGAAACTCGATGTGCTGCCAGTGATGCAGCTGCAGTTGTGGTTTCATGCAAATAGATGGGAATGCGAATAATTTCAAAACAAACAGCAGGCATGTCTCTGTGTGTGAGGTGGGGTGGGGATCATTTACTGGGTGGTGTGAGTGCGTGTGTGTGTTGATCCAAAGAGAGACTAGGGTGGAGGCTGAGCAAAGGGTTGAATTTCATCCACCCCAAGTGGTAGAATCCCAACAAGGAGTAAGACACTCAACTTGTCACTTACTTTTAAAAAATAAATAAACAATACGAATAAAAACCACAAATTGCATAAATGGTACCTGATCTAGTGTTTTTCCCACCCTCCAAATATATATTAACATTGTCTTGACAGGTATATCAGGCAAGTCCCGATTGAGTAATTTTGCCACCAGATGGCAGCATTGTCTCATTTTATTTTTTGAAGCCTGAAAACTACAATTCCATGCATTGTGCTTTATCACTTGTCAGTTCCAGTATTGCCTTGTCTTGCTATGTTCCTGTTTTTTTTCTCAAGTCTTAAGGTATTGAAATGTCAACCATTGCAGGCTCTATCCCAATTCCAACATGCAACCCATTCCCTATGCACACAAAAACATGTGACAGCAGATGCTTAATCTTCAAAACACATGATTTAAAAAATCAACAGCACATATTTTCCCCTCTCTAGATACTTTTCCCCAGGAAAAGAAACGAGCTGTCAGGCTGAAGCATATCTGACATACTCACGTGCGGCCTGACTCGTCACAAGTCAGGTCACGATGATCCCACGCGAAGATGAATGGACTTGACTTCATATCTGGGATGAGCGAGTTCCATGATTTCTCTCTAAGCTCCACTGTTAGCAGGCCAAGTTTCTCCGCCCACTTCAGTGCTGCCTTCTCCCCCTGCCCCAGATACTTGGCAGGGTCCTGGGTAGTAAAAATTCCCGAGAATCCCAGTCAGCCATTGCTGTCCCTGCATATTGGCAGTAATTGCATATGTCATGAATGTCCCTTCCAGGATCCCATTTTAAGAGGGAGCCTGAATTTTGGGAGAGAAGGGGAAGAACGGTGCAGAGAACCCACAGCAATCCCAGTTGTCTGTTGGGTACATTGCAGGCTGTTCGAGCAGCGAGTCCACTGTGGCTTATTGTCAGGGTGAGTCTGTGTGAAGTGCAAATACACCCACAGTCGGAAAATGCTTCACTTTTGAAGCTACTTTATGCAGAATAAAGATAGTTATGACAGGCTGCAAATGCCTTGCAAAATATTACCTGCATTTAGTGTTGTGCTTAAGTTATACATCTTCACGATGAGACTTCTCTGTCCGTGAGGATAAAAGGCAAAAAGTAGGCAGAATATTTAATCCAGACCAACACTAATCACATACATTCAGTCTCATGACTCTGAAGCCAGATCATTGTGAATTTTGGTTCTTTGGGTCTAGCAATAAGGCCTAGCCCAGTAATGCCGCTCACTACAATTATTTCTTTTCCTACCCTCAGCAACCTTGGAGCAGCCTCTGAGTTAACTATTGGGAAGGCATGGAGCCGGTGTCCTTAATTTAGCCCTGATATCTCATCTAACCCTGACAGTTGAAGGGCAGGCTGGCCTTCTGAAAGACTGCTATGCGAACATTGTGTTTTGCAGCAGCTGCTGCTAGTTCTTTTTGCTGTTCTGAAGTGCCCACATAGGGGCCAACTCATTCTTCTCCCTTAACAAATTATGGCACACTAAATGGATATTTATTTATTTATTGTTTATTTAAAACTTTTGCATACCGTCCCATCACTGATGACTCGGGACGGTTTACAAGAACTCCAGTAAAATAGGATAAAGAGATAAAAGTAGCACAGCATCCTGTAATAAATATAAAACCACAAATTAAGACAATTGACAATTAAAATAATGGGAAATAAAAACGGTTTTACCTGGAGCCGAAAGAAAAAAGGATACAATAACTCAGGATGTTTCCGAAATTAACTGTATCTGCATTCTTCTTCTTACATTTATAACTGCTTTTCTTCCTCTTGCAAGAAACCCAGGACAGTTTATTTTATTTTTTATTTATTTATTTATTAAAACATTTTTATGCCGCCCCATTCGCCGAAGCCTCGGGGTGGCTTACAACAATAAATAAAACCACATACAAGTTTACAAGATTACCCCCCTTTCCACTTTATTCTCCCAACAACAACCCTGTGAGGTAGGTAAGACTGCGAGTTTGTGACTGGGCCTAAGTCATCCTGTGAGTTTCATGACTGAGTGGGGATTAGAATCTGGATCTCCTGAGCCCCTGTCCAACACTCAGACTACTACATCACACCGGTAACTTGGACTACTTCCCGGATTACGTGGCCCTTTTTCTGGTATAAATGTGTTAGGAATTCTCCATTGTCCTTTGTGCTTGTTGTTGTTGTTATGAATTTTGAAGAGATCGCAAGAGTGTAGAGTGTGCTGCAGCTTTCTTTCCCTTCATGTCTTCCACACAGACTCCCTCTATTACCAGGGCAAATTCACAAACCATCATTTTGGCATGATGGTATGCACGGCAGCATCAAGATTCTCTTAGTGCAATGTTTTACCAGTGTGTGAATAGACTTGGGCACCTTGATAAAATACTACAAAAAGCAAGGCCAGTGTGAATGTGTGGCTTGTTGCATCAATAATCCTTTTTCCTGCAGTGTTTCACCAATGTGAAGGATGTTTTTCGTTCGTCAGTAAATACTACACAAGGAGATGGTCATAGTCAGGATTCCTTTTTGAAGTCTCTTGTATCAGCGCACATGCTGCAAATCAACAAGTAGCTATGGCAAACCATGCATGCTCTAGTTCCAGAATTTAATTTGAAAAATTCTCCCAATTCAGTTGGAATTCAGGACTCAGACCAAAGAGCACTGAAGAGATGCAGGGAATTCTCTTCATCCTCAACAACAGAACCACTGCAGGAGCATCCAGCATGCCTTAGAAAAGGCAATGTATTGGGCATGATTCAGACTTATTTTTACTTACAGTAGATCATTGAAAACAATGGTACTTAAATTATGCCTGACTAATTTAGCCTAAGTAAGGCCAAGTCTGCATCCTCTCTGTTGTATATACATCGGAATGTATTTTGAGATCTTTCTTCAATGATCACTTAAACAACCCTTTTGTATAATACATCAAAATGGCTGTTCTCCAAAAGGAGGAAAGAAGTGATTCTATTCTCAGTTATGGGGAAATGTTACTGCTATCCATATGAAATCAGTATCTCAGGCTTGGGGGCCCAGTAGGGCTCTCAAGGGTGGCCAGGAAGACCATAGACTTGGATGCACTTAGGAATTTAAGAAAGTGATGAGAGCACCACAGAAAATACATATCTAGCAGCTCACCACTTTGGCATCTCCCTATCTTCTCTGTGGTTCTTATATTGCACATGAAGTTTTGTTTCATGTCTATGGGACACCACAGTCTCTTTCATAAAGGATCGTGGTGCAATACAGTAAGCTAGTGCTTCTTCTAGACATGTGCTTTGGCAATGTCCAATAGTTGCCTCCTCTAGGCAGAAAGGTATCGCACAGCTCATTTTCATACCAGAATCATCTGTAACATTCACTGATTTACATGATCTTTTAAATTATTTACCTGCTTCATGGAAATTAATGCACACAAGGAGAAATGGTTTCTCTGTGTCTCTTTGACAGCTAAAAGACTGATATTACAAAACTGGATGGAGAAGCACTCATCTATAAAACAATGTACTGAAGACTTATTTATTTATTTATTTAAAGTTTTTATATGCCGTCCAATACCAGAGTCTTCAGAATGCATCTGGTATAGATCAGGTGACATACAGACTTCACCTTCAGATGGTTACCTATCTGATTATTTGGTGAACTTTTGTTGAAGTCTAGATATAATCTCTAGAAGTTGTTTGCATTTTATAGAAATCCATGTATATAGGTTAGACCATTTTGTGGTCACCACTGGATGTGCTAAGGGGTGCCACAGCTCCTGTAGACATCACAATGGGGGCTCCTGGATTTGACCAAGGATGCAGAATCTTGAACTGGGTTCCAGATTGAACTGAAAGATTCCTGAGAGGGTCACACCTTATTCTCCCAGCTGGACCACCTTTCCAGTAGTATGAGAGAAGGCATGATTCAGTAGCAGAGGAAAAGTTGGGATGTGTGCATTTTCAAGCAAAAAATATACACCTGTATTGTGTAAATTTAAAATACTGACAAAAACATGTATTTCGGTAGTACTGATTTCAAACGGGTATCAGCAATATTTCCCCTTATCTGCATTCCCATCCCTGAGAACAGAATCAGGTCTTCCTTGCTTTTTAAATAACTGCCATTTTGATGTATTATACAAAAGCATCCATCTTCCCAGCATGGCCTTATATAGCTGGTTGAATGGGACAGACCTCTAAAAATAGCATTCTCTTTGACTTCAGGGTGCCAAGTAATATGGAAACTGTCATATTTCAAGCTGACATTTTAGAAAATATATCCAGGATTCCTTTCATTGTCTGGTGACCATGTAAAATACATGAACTGGTCCATCAAACCCTATGAAAATAAGTCACAGCAAGCCAACATTTTTTGCTAGGCATAAGCAAAGACAGCATGCCCTTAATTTGGTGCTGTTTGAATCACACCTTTGGGGGCTTAAGACTTCCAAATTTGGATATAATCCACATTCCCCAGAAGTTAGTAGGGAAACTAATGTAATGGATATGAGTGCAAAATGTATACCTGAATTTAAGTTTAAGATCAGGCTGCATACCACTGAACGGGATATGGTGAGGTGGGATTGCATCATCAGCAAACTTTCCTACTGATGTGATTCAGTGCTGACTCAGAAAAAAACTCCCTGTAGTTGGATCAGGTCGCTTTAATAGCTACAGCCCTGTCTCTTCTGCAGCACAGAGGAGAAGCATCCAACTTCTGGGACTGTACTAGCTCTGAGAAAATGCTCCAGGCTGGTCCTCAACCTGTGGCCAGTCCAAGCCCAAGCCCAAGCCAGGATGTGGGAGGCACAGAAGGGAAAAGTTCAGGGCAAAATGGGCACAGATCAGGAACAGTGGCTAAGCAGACAAGGCAGAGCAAAACGGCGACAAGGCAGAGCAAGACAAAGGCAAGCGCTGGGTAATTTGTTTGGCAGCCAAGTAACTCTAAGAGGAGCTACAGAGCAATGTGCCAGCAGCCAGTCTGCTTCCTTTTAAAGCAGGGGCTGGGACACGGGAGCAAGGCTCAAGCAGAGCTGTGATGGTCTGCAGGCTACTGCAGTGCTTATGCTTTGGATTTGCCCAGTAGCGACCCAGGTTGGGCTTGAAATCCAAACCAGGAACAGCCATGGACCTCGAAGCCTTGCTCACCCTTCATGGGCTGTATCCTGGTCAAAGGGGATTTGTCAGAGGAGCATGTTGCATTGTTCAGTAAATCCACATGAATAATAAGCATATATACCTCCAATATACATAAGTAGATCTCTTGAGCTGAACTGTCCATGAACACCAAACTACTAAAAGTAAATGTAAAAATTTCAATTAATAGGGAATTTTTATTTGAATTATATGCAGATTAATATGATCCATTGAAAAGCCAATGCATATATTTATCCTTTTTTATTCTTTCTTTGTTTAACTCTATGTAGCTACTCCATTTTTCTTAAATAATTTACTTATGTAGATAAAAGACTTTCTCTTTCAAGTGCAAGACATTATGAAGAAGGGAAGGAAAATCTAAATGAGTGGCAATACAATGATGTTTGGATTGTATCAGGAAAGTGAACAAATGCTCGAACAATGAATAAACTGTTAATATAAACGACAGTAAGCAAAGTCTCTTCAAGCTTGCGTCTACTCCTAAGCAGGGGTGAGGCTGCTCTTGACAGGGTGCTACTCCCTTCTCCATATGCAAGTCTCTGGGCAAATGATTGTATCACTTTTCAATGTGGCTTTTAAAAAAGCTGACTTCTGCACATGGTAGTGGATGCACATGATAAGATGGAGTCTATAACAGAGGGTTGTTGTGAGAGACAGCCATGCATCTCTTCATGAAAAGGGGAATAATGCTGAGTATTCTAGAGGCCCGCCTAAATTATGACTGTCCCTGGCTTTGTGTCAACTTTAATCAGGTCCTGAAAGCAGGAAACTGGATCCTTAATGGACTGATCCAGCATTTGTTAGGTGGATATTCTGAATGGTCCCTGTTTAGCATGTTCCATGAACTGGTATGGTTTTGGAAAGAATATGAACGGGGTCTGAAATTCAGAATCTTCTTTTTAAACTCTGTGGATCTTCTCCTGTTCTTTTGACAACATGGCCATAGCTGTCTTCCCTCAGAGTAGTCCCAGGCAGCTTAGTAACTCCATTAAAGGGATTTAAAAGTCAGTGCTCAAAGCGGGGGGGGGGGGGGGGGGGGGGGGGGGGGGGGCCCCCCCCAAAAACCCAAAAACCCCCCCCTTCCCCCCCCCCAGAGCAACCCAACCCCCCCCCCCCCCCCCCCCCGCCTTTAAAAGCAGCAGCAAGGAACTGCCCTACCCTGTAATGTGAGTGCTGCTTTGTGTTATGTGGCTACTGCTGTTCAGGGGGAGGCTGCCCAGGCAATGAGGCAAGTAGCAAAAATACCCCCTTGAGTCACCCTGTGACATCACCGACAGCAATCACCGCAGGCTGGACGAAAAAGAAGCTGTAAAATGGACTTGTTTCTTTTCGGGCTGCTTCTACTACATCTGCTGGGCAAAGGCACACATACCTCCCTGCTTGCTTATGTCATCAAGTACAGGAAAGTCATAAACTAGACCATTTGGAAGGAACAGATCCAGGCAATGGAAGGAGCAATTAACTGTGGCTGCCACAGGGAATATTTCTGCTGAGATTATGATCAAGCGTGATGTATAATAGGCATTATCCCCTATCAGCAACATCTGAACTGACAATTTATAGTGGGAGAGGAAAGCCAGTTAGGTGGGAATGGGCACCACTTTTGCGTGGGAGCCACAGAACAGCAAGTCCTTGACTGAACACACTAAGATGCGACCTTACCGAAGAAGGAATCAAGGAGCTCTTTAGCACAGCAGCCCAGGCACATTCCGGCAAGTGGGTGGGGATCTCTGGGTACTTTTCACAGTATCTGTGTGCAAAGAAAGGGGAAAAATGGAGCAAGGCTAGTACTTTGTGTGAGTGGAGAAAACAAGGGACTTTGACAAATAGAAAACAAATAACAAGGCAGTTTGGTGCACGTAAAGCACGGCCAGTGTCGGAAATGCTGAGAGCTAAGATCCTACACATCTGGACCACCAGGATGTGAAGGACGATGCAGAGGAAGGTTGGCAGAGGTACCATACAGAGCAATATTTCATCTCTTTTCTCTGTTCGTGTCCCAGTCACACTCCCCTTGCTGAAAGAAGCTTTAGCAGGGTAAGTGATCTAACAGTAAGTTCTGTTATCTCAGTTGGCCTGCTAATGCTTCTAATATATTATATATATTTGAGACTGGATAACATGAGGGTAAACATGGTGCTAATGGAAACAGAGACTTGCACAATATCCTCTGATGGAACACGAAGCTCTAGTGTGATGTCCGGAGCTCACTGTTTGAAAATGTGCTGTGTCGTTAGCTTACCAGATTAACATTTTGGAGATCATGACTTCATCCTCCTTCAGTTGCTCAGTTGGCTTTATGCCCACTTGGGGGTGGGGGTAGAGGAGGGAGGAAAAGGCAATCATTGGGATGATGATAGTGCTAGGCCATTAAGTACTCTTTTGAAATTCAAACACGCTTTTCCTTTCAACTGCATATTTGGCTACTGTCAGCAAGAGTAGCCTTGGATGTGCAGAGCAGAGAGGCTGGTTTCTTAAAACTTTTCATTTTTTGCACATGCAACGCAACTGAAACCTATGCCACAAAAGGTGGTGTTCCTTCTACCCTATATTTGAAGCCTGTGTATCTAAATAAGGTCCACTGATTTCATGCTTAGGACTGGGGAGGGAAGAGAGATAAGTCTCCTGTGCAATATATAGAATGACAGGAGACAAGTTTATTCTGGATAGGATTGACATGCGCGCGCACACACACTTTGTAGACTATGGGTGGGCAGAAGTGAGATCAGCTGCACCGGTAGTTCCTTTACTGGTTTCACAGTAGACTAGCAAGAGTTTCCAACTCCCACTTGTTCACCAATAGCAACAAGAGTCCATGAGGTATTATTATTATTATTATTATTATTATTATTATTATTATTATTATTATTACATTTCTATGCCGCCCCTTGCCGAAGCCTCGGGGCGGCTTACAACACAATAAGATACATTGAAATACAATAGAACATAATAAATTACCACTAAATACAAAAAAATACTCTGAGATACAATAATATAAAATTAAAATTAACAGTATAAAATAAGTAAATAAAGAATATAGGAGGAGAAAAGAGAAGGAAGAAGAAGTTGTCCTGGCCAGAGCATATATTTTAACAATTAAAATGATGTTTAAATAAAAAGGTCTTTACCTGGTGCCGAAAAACCAGTAACGACGGTGCCAGGCTGACCTCTTTGGGGAGTGAATTCCATAGATTGGGTGCCACCGCAGAGAAAGCCCTCCTCCGAGTACTTACTCTCCTAATTTCTTTCATGGAGGGTTCCCGGAGAAGGGACTCTCCCGCAGATCTCAAGGGGCAGTCGGGCATATACGGACGTAAGCGCTCGTTCAGGTAGCCAGGACCCAAGCCGTTTAGGGCTTTGTAGGTCATAATCAACACCTTGAATTGGGCCCGGGCTTCAATGGGAAGCCAGTGAAGCTGACGGAGGACTGGAGTCATGTGAGCATAACACCCCGTCCCCGTCAGCAACCTGGCAGCTCTATTTTGCACCAATTGAAGTGTTCGCACCGTCTTCAGGGGAAGCCCCACGTAAAGCGCATTACAGAAGTCTAGGCGGGAAGTCACCAGCGCGTGTGTCACCGTCGCCAGGCAGTTGTACTCCAGGTAGGGGCGCAGCTGATTAATCAGCCGAAGCTGAAGGAAGGCGCTCCTCGCCACCGCTGTCACCTGAGCTTCCAAAGAAAGCTCCGGGTCGAGGAGTACTCCTAAGCTGCAGACCTTGTCCCTAAGAGGGAGTGTTGCACCATTCAGGACCAGGTCAAATCCACCCTCTCCGAAGCCCGATCCGCCAACCAACAGGACCTCTGTCTTGTCTGGATTGAGTTTCAGTTTATTGGCCCTCATCCATTCTATTACCTCGGCCAAGCACCGGTTCAGCACAGCCACTGCCTCACCTGGATTAGTGGAAAATGAGAGGTAGAGCTGGGTATCATCAGCATATTGATGATTCCGCAGCCCACACCTCCTGATGACCTCTCCCAGCGGTTTCATATAGATGTTAAATAGCAGAGGGGATAGAATGGAGCCCTGTGGTACTCCATGGCATAGCTGCCATGGCGCAGAGACATAGTCCCCCAGCACTACCTTCTGGAATCGACCGTTGAGATAGGAGCAGAACCACTGCAAAGCAGTGCCTCCAACCCCCAATCCCGCTAGCCTATCCAGAAGGATACCATGGTCGATGGTATCGAAAGCCGCCGAGAGGTCCAGAAGAACCAACAGGGATGCACTCCCCCTGTCCTTCTCCCTGCACAGGTCATCGTACAGGGCGACCAAGGCAGATTTGGGCTCAGTCATGAAACTCACAGTGACTTTGAGCCAGTTATGAATGCTCAGCCTAAGCCACCTCATAGGGTTGGCGTGAAGATAAAATACAGAGGAGGAGATTAGGTAAGCTACTTTGGGTTCCTTGGAGGAAAAAGGGCATCATGTACATAAATATTTATGCCTAAATCAAATCAAAAGCAACATATAAAAACAGAACTGTCCAGAGCTTCAGCTACGGGTGGTATAGAAGTGTAGATGATGATGATGGTGATGGTGATGATGGTGATGATAAATCCTGGTTTAGGATTTATCTAAATGAAGGTTTAGGATTTATCTAAATGAAGACAGCTTGGAGATTAACCAGGATTCTTGTGAAAAACCGTTTCAAGTCCAGTTCTGATGCTGGAAAACAAATTCCAGCGGTGAACATATGTATGCTTAGACCCAGGCTTCCGGAAACATTCCCCATGCCAATGAAGCAAACACATAAAGCATCACAGGACTGCAGAACATTCAGAGCTGTCAAGTCACAGGCACTTTTTTAATCGGCTGTGGTGAGAGGCACCATAGTGCACCCATTGCCTCGAGCAGCCTTTTCCAACCTTGCAGATGTTGTGGACCACAGCTCACAGCAGGCCTGCACATTAGCCATGCTGGCAGCAGCCAATGAAACCTGAAAAGTAACACACCTGGGTAGCACTGCTAGCCCAATGCACAGATCCCCTCCCAGATGTGTCCTGGCCTTCAGGTGGATGGTCTGACTCTGAGTATTCCATTTGAGGGTCATTTTAAATCCGTACTTAAGCCTTATTTTCATTCTGATAGACGTTTCCACTAATATGTAGCATTATATCCATTAAAAGGTTTTCTTCACGTAACTGCTGCACCGTGTTGCTGATGTCATGTGCCATCAAGTTGTCCCTGACTTATGACTACCCTATGAATGGATGGCCTCCCAAGTCTGTCCGCGACAGCCCTGCTCAGCTCTTATAACTTTAAGGCGGTGGCTTCCTGTATGGAATCATGCCGTCTCATAGTTGGCCTTCTTCTTCTGCCTTCAACTTTCCCTAGCATTATTGTCTTCTCTAGTGAGTGCCCAAAGTACAAAAGCTTCCGTTTCATCATGTTTGCTTCCAGGGAGAGTTCTGGATCAATTTGATCTAGGACCCACTTGTTCATCTTTCCAGAAAATTTGCAAAAATTTACAAAAGAAAAAACTGATTCTAAGTAACAAGTTCCCTATTCAATTCTAATTAGGATTTTCAGCTGACAGGTGCATGGGCCAGGTGACCTTCTCAAGTGAGTATCCAAGCTCTTGCATGCTAAAATGAGCAGATAATTATTCCCTTATTTGTTTAAACCTCCTAACTAATATTACCTACTGTCCCATAAATAAATAAAGACACATAATCTTAATCATTTATTTGTTAGTAAGCATTACTAAAAACATTTTAAAGGCTTACACAAAACATTTTAGGCTAAACCCATTCAGTTTAAATCATAAATTTGAGAAGAAAATTCCATACTCAACATTTACTGATAAAACTAAGTCTACATTTTTTCTAGACATTTGTATATTAGATGTGCATCAGTTTTTTTACATACTTGCATATTATAGTTGTTCAATAGACTTTAAACAAACTATTAACTTTCTACCTGGAACAATATAGTCTTACAGCTGTGAATTACTCAAACAACTTACCCAAACAACAATTAGGCTGAAGGGATAAATCTTTAACTCAGCATTTCCTGTTTGGATAACATCCAAGTAATCTTGACAACCATTCTTTATGTCAGTTACCCAGAAGTCAGTGTGAATCTGCATGGGGTTTGTGTGTCTTCTCTTTCATAAAATTACTAATTTCCATTCTTGATATTGCACATTTTAAAATGTTTATTATCAAACAATTGGCATTTATCTCTCATAATAAGACATCCTATATTGTTTTGATAAGGGTAAAAAAACCAGAACAGCTCATGGTATCCACTGTTGTTGGCTTTACTAATTTATCTGAAATGGAAGTAAATGAAATTCAGGTGAAAACATCTCAGCACAAAATATCTCTGTTCAAAAATGACTCATACAATGGTATCTTTGATGCAATATAAGGTTACCAGCATTATTTTAGATTGTGGAGGTACCAGGTTAAAATATGAATGGACATAAATAAGTATATTTAAATGTCCTCTTATTAGTTAAGAGCAGAATTGTATCAGATTTTGTATATAATTTCATAATAAACAAATTAAATATTTAGAAGTAAATGCATTTTCATATAATAAAGATATAGCTAGGCTATAGATATACCTATAGCTAGGATATACCTCTTTCTCACAAAAATATATGAAATTTCTTTAGATGAAATAAATTGAAACATTATTATTATTAATATTAATATTATTATATTGTGGCTATATCCTACTTTTTTCCTCTTGTGAGGAAAGGCAAAATTGGGTTGACTGGCAATAATTCAGCAATATAACCAGTGTATTTTTTTATTTGTTTACTCAGTTACTACTGTTGGTGAATCATAGAGAAGCGGAAAGTTGGCAAAAAGTGACTGATACTTTTATATGAGAAATTAATGATCAAGGGCAGACTCTTCCACAATGCACAAAGTGAGAGATTTACCATTTCCTGTCCGGATGATTTAATGCCAAATCTTTCAGTTAGCCTGGATGACAAAATGGATATGTGGAAAAAATATTTATATGTTGAATGATTTAGTGTGGTTGCATATGGAGGCATTTTGGAAATGTGTCCTGTTTTTCCACAGAAAATGTGGGTGAATAGTTTGAAATGATTTAATTCCAAATCAAATTAAATCATACATTGGCAGAGCAATGCTATGACCTCCTAAACAGCATCTAGGAGACCACAGAATTCTTCAGATTCCCAGATCTGAGGGCAGTAAAGAGTAACATCAAAACTGGAGATCTGCATTTGAATCCCCCTCCCCAACCAGCCCACATGGAAGGGCTGAATTGGCTGCTTCTCCAAGGTCGTTAGAGTGCTGGGTAAAGGGATACACAAGGCATTCCAGGGAGAAGGGAGGGAAGGGGAAAAGACTGAGACTGAGACTGCCAGAATAAGATGTACCTTCGTGGTGTTCCAGCCCCCATCCTTCGCCATCTAAAATGCTGCAGCTCGACTGCTAAAATTGCTCGTCTACCTGGCTTGTGGGGCAGAAAGAGCAAAGAGCTGGCAGGCACCTTTGCAATCCTCTTGCCCCACTGAGTTTGGAGACTTATAGGCATCCTGGTTGGAGTGCACCTAAAAAAATGTAAGAAAAGTTTAGCCTATGTGTGTTTCTTCTTGCAAAAGGGAAAGAGCCTTAATGGAAGAATACAATAATTTCAACATTTTTTTATTATTAACCCCACTCCCTAACAATGATAAATCCAGCTCTTTAATGGCTAGAGAACAAATATTGACTAGCAATAACAAAAACCAGAGGTGAGAACTTAAGCAGTTCACCAACTGAAAACATAATAAGGGGTGGTTTGGTAAAATTAATAGGCTAATAAGCAACCTACATCTGCAAGGTTTTGAGAAAAAGATCTTGGAGCACTGGTCCCAAAACTGTGAATGGGCTAATATGTATTAATTCATTAAGGGTGCAATTCTATCTATGTTTGGTCAGAAAAAGGTCCTACTACTCCCACTTCTTCTATCTGGCATAGGATTTAAACAAAGGATTTGGCCCTAAGCAAACCTGGGTTGGTTATTCAGTTCAAAATGTTTCTCATCTGATTGGGATGGTGTAAATCGCTAACCTGCAACAGCAGGAGGTTGAACCCAATGTCCTTCTTGACCCCTTCCAACTCTACTATTCTGTGATTCTATGATATTCACTATTAGGTTATCCTTATATGGTATTTAGCACCAGCAAGGTTATAAAATATTTTCAGCTACTCAGCCCATATCTCAGAAGTTCAGAGCAACTAGAGAAGGTAGTTCAAAATCTGCTAGCATAATACCTTGATTAGGCTAACCAAAAGATCATGAGAAATGTGCAACCTTTTCAAGATGTCCAGGTCTCTTCATCAAGCAAGATGTTACAAAAAGCAGGTTAGGATATGTACTATATGTGGTGTGAATGCTGGTATGCCTGTGTATTTGGCATAAATTAATTCATGAGATACCACGAATAGTAGAACATATCATTGTTGATTTTTTAAAATTAAAATTAAAATTTAATCTGATGCAAACAAGATTACCTAGGAGATAGTATCAAACTTTTTCACTGCTGCTAAATAGTCTGAGATAAATTCATACATCCTTTTGTAACAATAAAAGGATGTCTGCTGAAGTGCTGAAATATAATGGGGGCTGAGGGGGTGATAATAGAGGAGATTCAGATGTGAAGCAGTAAAGCAGGATTTATTTCTTGTTTAGATCTTGGGAATCATTAAAAAAAAAATATTTCTGTGACTTGAAATGAATTTCCAAAGCAGTGAAGGACTGTGACATTAAAAATATACTATGTAGATGAGAATCAAACACTGAACATAGATCATTTTTATCCATTGCACTGATTTTATACAGATATAAGTTTTGATCTCATTTTATTTTGAATGTTATAACTAAAATCAATATAAATGCAGTAAAGTCAAGAGCAGAGCAGAGCAGATCAGTCAGAGCCTGAGCCACAGGGGAGACAAAAAGTTCAAGGTACAGTAAAAGCCTCTTAACAACTTCCCTGAAGCTTAATAAGGAGGGGGCAACAGAACTTTTAAAGGGAGAGTGCTGCAGAATCTGGGTACTGCCATGGAAACCAGTGCCTCGACCAACTACATCTCCAAGGGAGGTGAAACACACACTCAGGTCGCCAACACTGAGTACATCAGGTGGGGCAGGATTGTATAGAAGGAGGCCATCCTGCAGGTATCTTAATCCAAACTTAATCCAAAGTTTAGGGTTTTTTGGATTAAGAGCCAGCCCTGTACATAAGAACACAGGAAGAGCCATGGACCAGACCAAAAGACTGTTTTGTCCAACGTTCTGTATGTACCATGGCCAACTGGGAGCACAAGAGAAGCCGAGAAACACGGCATGGAAACAGTAGCACTAATCATGCCTGGAAATGAACTGGGAAACAGTACAGATGAAGGGGAATCACATGCTCCAAAAAGGAGGTCTCAGAAGTGATTCTGGCTACCACAGAAAGATGAGTTCCACTGCTGTTAAATCTCTGTTTCGTGTCATTATGGTCAACACTTTGTATGATTGATCTGTCATACGCTGTCAAGGCCACGGCAGTTGATTATGTAAGTCACCACAGTGTATGGTGGTAGGGGTGAACAAATAAATGAATGACTATAAGTTCAGGAAACATAGGCGGTTAAGTCAGTGCTGTGAAGCATTCAGGTGCGGGCTCGTGGTATTGTGTTGCAGTGCACAGTTCCAACCAGCAGGTGGCACACAATTTGCTTGTCTTAAAAGGAAAGCCATGCATTACAGGACACATCTTTCATCAGGAATAATACTCTGTGCACCAGGGGAAAGGAAAAAGAGCCTTTTGAATGTTCCAGTGGGCAGCTGCTGTCTAGACATATTCAGCATAAGGTGTTTGAAGATTGCGAGTGACCACTGACTGCCAGAATAGATACTATTGGAGAGCTGATGTTAAATCAAGGGCAAGCATTCCTTTAATAATCATGTAGAAAACCTCAGGGTCAAAACACCAAACACAGCATCAAGTAACTTTCACTGTGCAGTTCATTAGACATCCCAACAGTGATTCTGAGGAAGTTGTTCCATCTGTAGATTTTAACCCAGGGCAGGAAACTTGTGGCTCTCTAGGTATTTCGGTTTTCCGTTCCCATCCGCCTTCACCAACATAGCCCATAGTGTAAGAGTGTGGGAACAGTCGTTCCAAACAGCTGGAAGGCCACAAGCAATGAATGGCAATGAAAGCCGCAAGGAATGGCAAAGACCACAGAATGGCAAAGATAGATTGCATTATCTGATCCTCTTGCAAGGAACCCACAGTGGCTTACAAGCTTTTCCTCTCAGCTGTATCCTCAGAACAACAACCCTGTGAGGTAGGCTAGGCTAAGGGGTCGTGGCTGGTCCATTTGAATAAAAAGACACTTCTGTATGCTACCAAATCTTAGCACAACAAGCTACTGGAAAAGTCCTAAATCTGCCATGCAACAACCAAGGTAGCTTAATTCAGAGGAACACCCCAAAGACTTAAGGCCTCAGTTCCTCCAAGGCTGCATGGATGTTTATGTCTTTCTTAAGAAAACAATGTGCACAGTGTGCCTCTCCATATTTGTAAATGTTTATTATGTAAGGAGAAAAATGGCTATGGAGTGCTTCAATGTCGCTCCAAATGAATGCTCAGTATTTTAAACAGTATTTTAAGAGGAATGGCCCACGGCTGTGCCAAGGATACTTTCTGATGTTTGCCTTCAAGGCTATTGTGTCATTTACACTCTCTTAAAATGACATATTAAATGAGCAGCATTAAAGGAACTGCTGGCCTTGTAATGGGTCTGCTTACACGGCGGTATTAAGGGGGAATGGCTCAAAACTGTCATTTGCAGCCAAGCTAAGTTACAGCAAAACTTGATGTGATCTCGAGTTCTGCAAAATCACCACAAAATTGCATTTGCTATGACTGAACCAACATATAAATATTATCAGGATTTCTGGGAAAATGCTTATTTTAGGTCAATTCACCCATGGCAAGTAGTAAATTTTGGTGTGCATCGATGCTCATCACGGATGTGCCCATAGCTACCCCCACCCCAAGACAGCTCTAAAATGCAGGTAGCTATCCATTTCAACAAACCAGTCCTAGCAATTTTCATTTCCACCAGGAGGACGGCTTTTGTCTAGAGCAGGGGTTGGCAACCAGTGGCTCCGGAGCCACACGTGGCTCTTGAATCCCTCTGCTGCGGTTCCTTCGCTCAAAATATGCGCCGGCACAGCCGCCGATCTGCGAAGAGGCTGGTTAAATAAATTGCTACATTCCTCTGCTATTGTGCAGGGAAAGAGTGGAACAAGCTTCCTGCAGGCTCTCATGTTACACAAAACTGAAAAGATGAAACTGAAAAGCTGCTGAAAAGATTCTCTTTGTCCCAATGTAATCTCCTTCATCTGAATTTTAAAAGCTGCACTTGGGACCTGTCACAATTCACAGCACTTGACTGTTTATCTGCTAATCGGTCACTAAACGCACCTATATCTGAGACCCAGCACCAATTTACTGAGCTTCCCCTGCCCCCAACCATGGATAAATCGAAGAAAAGTTTTTGAAGAAAACTGAACATTTAATGGTACATGGGTAGATTCATTTGCTTTTACTGCTGATGAACTTATGGGGTTTGCTGTTTAATGCATGCAGCCCTTTAGCACTGATTTTGACTCTGCAGGAAGCTGTTCTCCTATTCAAAATATATTAAAGAAATCCTACTAGTTTATAATGTAAGATGAAAAATAACAGTTTTTAGTGACTGAACAAGAAATGCAGCTAAATTGTAATGAAGATATGGATCTACTTCCTTGTTTTAAGAAGATTCTTATAAAAATTTCAGCAATATTATTACATTGGGAGAGGGATGTTTGTTCAATATTTCACCACGTGATAAAAGGATGAGGGCACACAGAAGCAGACAGAATTTTTGGTTTGCTGCAGGTGGATAATATAAGTTTGGCTTTTTATTTCATAAATATGAGGGGGACTCAAATAGACATTGACTATTTGATTTGAAAGTAACCTTCAACCCAGCATCTTTTTTTTTTTTTGGAGTTGAAAATGTTTTTGTTGCATGCAGAAATAAAAAATTGTTTTCTCTGTAGCAGTTCATTGATTTCATAAATACAACATACTATAGTTTTTTTATACATCGCATAAAGGTAAAAAACTATATATGCAGTGTTACCTTGATTTGAAGTCAAAAGGGTTTTGCGGCTCCCAGTGTTTTCTTTTCTGTGGGAAACGGGTCCAAATGGCTCTTTGAGTGTTAAAGGTTGCCCACCCCTGGTCTAGAGAATGGGTCTGCATTGCCTTTTCAGGACAAGCCACATCAATACTCTTCACATACTGTTGCCAGGACAATTCATGGTCCCTCGGCTGCTATGAGGATGCAGCTAAACTCAGAAGAAGCAAGAAAGCCTAAAGGGGCAGGCGGATGTTACCAGTGTCCCTGATAAGAAGAAAGTGCCCTGTGAGCTCTGGCACCACAACCATTGCAGGACATGGGCTGAGCACTTACCCAACTTTGAATTGCCACATGGGTTTGTGGTTGTCCTGGCAATTCTCCAATGCCAAAAGCACATTTGTCCATCAAATTGCAAGACGTTTCATAAGAATTCTGTTGTGATATATTCGATTCATGGATTGCTAATAAGCACATGACTGAGGCTTTCTCTGAAATGGATACTGGACTAGCATTCCACCAGGCAAAACAACAATTCATATGTGAATGATTGCTGAATCTGTTCCAGGCTGTTCCAGAATAGATTTTACCTTGACTCTTCTGTATTTAGCTTCCTGTAGCACAATGCTTTCATAAGTGGCATTGGAGCTACCTTGCTTATCTTTTCATTAATTCAGTTGTTGATGTATTTAGCTTCATAGGCACATGGCATTCCTCCTATACACAATTTCAGTTTCCCTTTCACACCCTTTCATCATGTCCAAAATTCTGTGAATGTGTGCAAGTGAGTATAAAGTTGAACATTTCTGAGCCCATTCGTTTTGTAGAGATATTCCTATTTGTTGACCTGTTGACCAATATAATGTAGGTATTGGATATCCTGCCACTGCTTATTTCATATTATTGTTTTATTTTATGTTCTGTGTGAACTATAAAAGAATGTCAAAATCTTTATATTAGTCCTAGAACTCATAAATCACCAGCAATTAATCTTGCTTGTACTTGCAAGGATTAGCTGCCAGTTCCAACAATGTACGTTTCTATTTATGGTCTGTAGTGTTTTATGTGACTCAAGTCATATACATCCCAGGCCTCTTTCTCCTACCCCTGCAATCTGAGATAATCTAAGGAACACAAATGTATTTCAATGCATGGCTTGGTTGTGTTAGGACAAAACACACACCTGAAAATAAGTATGAGAACCCCTTTCCCACATATCTTTAGTCCTTTCATAGAACTGGTTTGCTCGAAAGGTCCACATATCAGAGAATTTGCAAAATATATCTGACCTAACAATTTATAACTGCAATTATAATAGTTTTGCATAATAGTAGGAATGTTAAATAATCCAAGTGAAAGGAGTTCTCAGATTTGTAAGTACTGTTACCAATGTATTATATTTACTCCACTCTTAGAATCTATCAACTCTTACCTCCTAAATTCACACTGCTTCTATTCAGATGTTATTAAAAACAACAATAACAGCAACAACAAAAGTTACCCTCTCTCCAGTTGGACAGCCACTTCAGATTCAGTTATAAAGGAAAATTCTTGGAGGGGGGTCTTCTCTCTCTCAGATTGGACTAAAGACCTTAGCTTCTTCGTGTATGTGGTAGCAGCTGGATTCTTGGAAGTCAAGAGTTGGGTTTTTAACATTACTTTTTAGTGCAGCTAAGTATGACTCAGGCAGCATGTGGAGTAGTAAGTCCCAGAGGGGCAGGAGTTGTCAAATTTGGAAGAATGCCTTTCTTGTCATCTCAAGATGCTTTTGTTCTATTTTTATTAAGGACACGGGACTAAATCCTGGTCTGCAAATGCAGCATAATCAATATTGTACCAGAGCCAGGATTACAGGCTGCCTCACTGGCACTTTTGGCTTTGCTGGAATGCCCCCCTCCCCAATTCTTGGTTCCATCTGAACTTGGCTTCAATCTACACAGTGGGCGATTACTTTTCTCAGCAACAATATATGGGTATGAACTATTCTTGTAGGAACACACTGCAAAGTTCTTTATTTAAGGGCAATTAAGACCCCAAAGTTTTTTTTCCAACTGCTCCTGGTAGAAATGAAACTTGCTTGTAGTGGTTTATTGATATTGATCAATTCAAATGCCTGAACTGCTGGACTCTGTTTGGAAGCTTGGCAATGGAGACTATCATGATGACAACTCACACTTCAACATGTACTACTTACCATTGACCATGATGAAATGGAAGAACAGTAACACTTCAGAATATAGGTAGGGACCACCATATCAGAATGTTCTGTGCACATCAGGAGCATACTACGCACATGCACACACCCACACACACAGAGCGAGTGAGTGAGAGAGAGAGAGAGAGTTATCACTGATGTGCTAAATTATTATATGCAGGGGGTTTTCTACACAGAAGAAAACTTTTAATAATGTGGCAACCCTTCCCCTTTTGCCTGCATTCTGGACTGATCTGGCCATCTATATTATTAAATATTATTTAATTAAAGAACTTTATTGCAACATTTGGGGAACTGTGAATTTCAAAGGATGACTGAATTCACCCAGTCTTTCAAATATGTTAAACTGAATAAATTCACTTTAAAATGCAATCTTCATGAACATCTCCTTCCTTCTTCATTAATAAATTTGAATCTGACAGAGGTTTTTATCAGCCACTTCATCAGAAATGAAAGCAACTGAGGGATCTACCTGCTCGCTATGGAGAAAACCACCAGCTCAGAGGTCCTATCTATTCTGTTTGCATCCCCCCACCCCAAATGGACTGTATGAACAGATTTCTTTTTAATTTGTTTTAGATTCGTAATAAGAGCAAAGCATCCAAGGCCGGGCTGTGTGAAGGGGATGAGGTGATATCTATCAATGGCAAGCCTTGTGGGGACTTGACCTATTCTGAAGTTATCACCTTGATGGAAGGCCTGGCTGACACTCTGCAGATGCTGATCAAGAGGTAAAGAACATTCTATGCTGTTAAATACCAAATCATTCCAGGCCATAGGTGCATCTCGTGATGCTAGGTGAAGCCTGGCATTTTATATGTCACGGGTATTTATTTATTATTTATAACAGTATTTATAGGCCATGTTTTAGAATGTAGTCTGTAAAATGCTGCTGACATCTCCTCCTGCTATACAGTTAAACCACATTCAAGAAAACCAGAGAACAGCACAACATCCAATTATAGACAGAAGTCCCAGTAAAAAGTAACAATGGTGTTCTTAAACAAATTAGAAGCCCATCTGCTAATGAGAAAGCAGTCTGGAATAAATAGGTTTTGAAAGCTCATTTAAAAATGAGATATGTACTGTGAAGCTGTATAGATTTCAGTGGGTGTACTCAAAGTTTCTGACCTGAGGACTGAGAGGCAACAGCCTGTGAGAATTCAGTGGGAAGCCTTTGTTAATAAAACCTGGAAGGCAGTGGCTGTGGGAGTCTGTGGGGGGCAGTCCACCCACTTTGTAAAAGTAGGGGGAAGTTCCACAATTTGTGGAACATCACTAAAAAACCCCACATGGAACACACTGCAGTAGTCTCCACAAAGTATGTGTTTGCTTATACTACTCTCAGTTCATTTATATCAATGCTTGGTTGCTTATTGTGTGCGTATGGTACAGAAGTGCATATTTTATTGCACAAATAATTACATTGTATTTAATTAGACCACTCAATCTGCAGTCCTAAGGTTTCTTACTAGAGCATAAATTCCACAGAACAGTGGGAGTTCTGAGTACACTTTCATAGATTTGCACTGCCGGTCAAATATTAAAATCTTTTGTCGTGAAGGGAGACAGTTAATTGTTTTGCAGGAAGGGATACTGCATAGGCAGAAAGCCTTTTAAGGGGTAATTTTTCTCTAGGCGTTTTTTCCTGCCTCTCTCCACATGTGCGCATGCGCACACACGAGCACACAGAGATGCCAATTTACTAATAAAGGCTAACATTTATCTGGCTTATCTCCAAACTTCCTTCCTACAAGGAAATGTTTATAGATTCAGAGTTTATATGTACTAAATACCAGAAATTGATTGTCCAAATAATGCAACATGATAGAAACCAGCCACAGCCTCAGGACTTCATAAAGATGTTTGAGAACTTTGAGGAGCTCCAAAATTCTTTGATAGACGTTATAGATTGGTAAATCTGGTTTCTACCAACCGGTGAAGCAGTTATTGTCAGGTATCTCTGTGCAATCCTGGGACATTCATCTCACATAATGACAGCTCCTGAGTTGTATAAACCAAAGGTTGTCAGAGGCTTTCTGCCTATGCAGTCTCCCTTCCTGCCAAACTCTGTCTCTAACTTATTCACTGCTTCAGCTGTCATGAATTCAGAACCCTGAGAAACTAAAGGATTAAACAACCAGAAGTAAACTAGCCATCACTCATGGATTGTTGTTGGATTAACTCTGGGTTGTTTTATCTTTAAGCAGCCCAACATCCCAGGTTTGAATATCACAATAACAACCCAGGAATGGAGTGTATGCAAAAGTATGTGGAGATTAAGGCCGTTTATTGATGTCCAAAAGAGTCATCACTTGAAATCTGTGTTTAGCAGCTATATTTCATTTTTCATGTTTATTCTAGAGTAAGAACAGGGAAGGCTATTTGGATCAAGACCTGAATGTAGTAAATGGCCAAGATCCATATAAGACCTCTGTACCTACTCTGAGTAAAACTATTTTTTTAAAAAAATAGCTGTAAAACACAGATTTATATCTGGTTTGGCCCTGGGGTTGGCCATTTTGAACTTACTACTCTTGTGCTGCATCTTTTAGTTTCTGGGGCCAATTCAAATGTCAGTGCTGACATTTAAAGCTGTAAGTGGCTTAGAACCAGTGCAACTGAAAGAGCACTTTCTCCCACATGTTTCTTCTGATTGCTAAGATAATCTTCAAAGGCTTTTCCCTGGGGCAGGCAACTCCCAGGAAGGGAGAGTTTCCATACAGGCCCTCATCTCTGGAATCTCCTTCCCAAAGAGATCTGCCCACCAACTTCATGGTAAATGGATAGCTAGCAGGCAGGCTGAGATCTTAATTTTCTGACACATCTTTTAACTTTTTATTATCAGTTTTATTGCTGGCTCAGTATTTTAATACTTCATTATTTTAATTGGTTGTATCCTTGTTTTGGTTGTTGCTTTTTGGTTTGTGGTTATAAACTGGTCCAAAGGCACTTATTAGTTGGGAAACCTATGAATCAAATAGCTACACATCAAGAAGAGTGGGAAGTTTCACTAGATGCCATTAGCTTTGTTGGAGCATTGACTTACTACAGTTAGTTGAAAGTGGTATTGAAATATTTTCACACAGAGCAATATATTTCCTTGTTGACATGAATGTTCTGTAATTCTTCTGTGGTCGTGATTTTTGTTTTCTTAATGTTCAGCTACATTCTTACTTTTCCACTTCTTTCACTTTCATAAGAAGTTATTTCAATGCATTGCTGCTTTCTGCTAGTAAAATGGTATTGTTTGCATATCTTAAACTATGGATGTATCTGCTGCCAATTTTCAGTCTTTCCTCTGAACTTAATCCAGCTTTCCTTATATGTTCTGCATAAAGGTTGAACGGAAACAGAGATAAGGTACACCCTTATCTGATGTCTTTGCCTATAGGAAACCATTCTTTTTCTCCATATTCTGTACCAACAACAACTTTTTTCCATGATACAAGTTATGAGTCAGGACAATCAAGTGCTGAGGAACATTCCTTTCTTTCAGTACCATCCGTGATTTCTCATGATCCACATAGTCACAGGCCTTGTTTTAATCTGTAAAGCACAGAATGATTGCCTTCTGACATTAGCTGGTGCCAACAAATATTGGAGATATGATCCCGAGTGCCTCTTTCTTTTTGATATTCAGCTTGAACATTAGGCTTTTCTCACTCCATATAGGGTAAAATTCTTTGATGCAATACATTGAGCATCACTTTGCTTGCATGGGAAATTAGTGCAGTGTTCTTATGGGATGCTTTCCCAATCCTTAGGAAAGCATCTCCTTTCTTAGGTTTTGGAATGTGTATTGAACATTTCTATTCCGTGGGCCATTGTTTTATTTTTCCATATTTGTTGGCATATTCTTGTTAGGATTTGGACCGATTCAGTTTCTGCAGACAGATTTGTGCTCTTTTGTGTTTTATTCCCTCCAAGTGGTTTCATTTCAGCTTTCACTTAACTTTCTAATAATTACTCTCCAATTGATTTGTCCTCATAGCATTGCTCCTTGAAGAGGTCTGTCATCTTCTCATCTCTTCCATGTATTGTTTCGATTTTGAAGGGACAATTTCTGCTAGGTTTTGTCCCAACCCTAGATTGCAATATTAAAAGTTTAATGCCAGTTCACTAAACATGTCCTTGCTTTCACAACGGAGGGGTAACAGAGATTATGCTAGTCTGGCCTCCCTTGTCAGAGTGTTCTAAAGCCTGCAAGAAGCCACCAAGAAGACCCCGTCTGCCTTATTCTAAGGCTGATTTCAAAGCCCCTGTCAGCAATAAAGCTGGAAATTCAGCCAACTAATTCACAGTACAGATAAGTTTGGTAATTAAACCATCAACCAAGGGTGTCTGCAGTTACTGGGACTGCATATTCCAAGGAAATTCGGAAAGAGTCAGAGGTCAGTCTAAGGTATGAATAAAACCAGAAAGTTGGTCCACTCATCAGCAGAGGTTCAGTAGCAGCACTCGGTCTAGAGTCGTGCATGGAGATGACAAGGGCCCACAAACAAGGTGTGAGGAGCAAAGCCCAGGCCAGAAGTGGTTTCCAGCATGATTTTGGCCAGGAGCTGGCTGGATGAGCGATGCAAAGATCAGGCCGAGATCCTACTCTCTTGCACTTGCTGGACTGCTTTCCCATGCTTGGCCTAGCCGGAAAGCAAGCCAAAGCAAGAAGTCCATGAATACTTGGGAACACTAGCATCTTCTTTGTGCAAAGTACACAATGGATGTAATTCTTTTTACACAAAGCCCACAGCTCATGTGTGCAGAAGCTCTTACATGACTAAGAACTTACACTCATGTGTAAGAAGAATTCTGCTTCCATAGTGGTTAAGCAGGTGGCATGTGCATCAGCCAGCCTGGAGACTCACTCAGTCTTGCTTCTTGCCAGATGCTCACATGAGTGGTCAGCATGAGGTGGACTTAGGGCAGAAAGCAAGTGTGTTGGGATCCAAACTGAGGATCACAGATGGATTCCTACCCAAAAGCACATTCCCACTTCACACTTTGGTAGGCTCTGCTGATTACGCAGGCCTGGTGTAGCTCCAGTGAAGGTGTTTCTGTGACATTATCTGCAGGCAGGACAAATTATCCGGGCAGCTCAGCAGGAGGGACTTTGCAGAAAGGAGAAAGCTTGTGCCTGTGCTAATTCAGTGAGATTGTCCCTTCGTTTCAGCCCCAAGCTGCAGCTGCAACAAGAGCCTCCCTCTTCAGCATCCATGAGGAAGAAGAGGACCTATAGTGAGCTGAGGACTCTTAAAGCATGTCGTGCAGCTTTCTTACTTGGTTGCTCTTGCAGATCCCTTGCCCACTGTTTGTGCGCAGTGTGCGCTCTCACGGAACAGGAATTGCACCATTAAGTACATGGCACAGCTTATTTTGGTTTCTAGATTTCTGACAGAAATCTTTTTACAATGCTTTTCCCTTGAACAACTTAAGATCTTAGCGCTGCACTGGGTAAAATATCTGAAGGAACCTGTGCCTACCCTGGCATGCGATCTGGCACATTGCCTGAGAGGAAAACCTGCACCCCTCTTTTCAAGCGGCTGGATTCGTGGGGCTGGGTGGCTATGCCAAGCTTTGCTGGGGAGGTAGAAGACTCCCCATTTTCACCGCCTGGGTCCTGCCTGTTCATCCACTGCTGGGGTGTCTCCCTCCTGGGTGCCTGTTTCTGCCATGCTCTCAGGAGCCAGGACCTCCCTGTAACCACATCAGTATCTCCCTCAGATGAAGACTCCTAAAGTAGAAGCATGGCACACCCCACCACAGGTTCCCACAGTAACAGAGCAACAGAGAGAAGAGCCTCCCCCAAGAATCAGCCTCACATGGGGGGATGCTGTCTTCCAAATAACTTGGTCATGATCCACACTTGGAATTTTTCTCAGGAATTGACGAGTAGCCAGTAAAACTGTTGCATCAAAGGAACTGCATGTTTCCTATAACCGATGCAGGCCAGCAATCTGGCTGTAGCATTATGGCACAGCGGAAATTTGCAAACACTTTTCAAAGGCAGCCCCATGTACAGTGTATAACCAAGCTTCAAAAGAGATATAACTAAGATATGTGCCATCACAGCCAGATTTGATATCTTTAGAAATGTCAACAGTTGGTGCACTACCCTTAGGTGGGCAAACACGCTCCTGGCCATCAAAATCTGAATATCCAAAGTAAGAGCTAATTCCAGGGGTACACACAAACTGCAAACCTGCCCCTTCAGTGGGGGTGTAATTCCCCAGTATTTTGAGAAGAGAAAGAAAAACAGATATTTTCTCCTTACTACAGGAGGTATTAGTCAGTATAATGTGCCAAGGAAGACAATGCTATGGTTCCTGAAGAGCATCTCAGAGGCCATGGGATTCCTCAGGGTCTCTTTTCTGAGGCTATAGACAATGCCGTGACCTGGAAGGAGGGACAGTAACGTCTGTGCCAGTTGCATTACAGGGCTGCAAAGGCAGGCTTGGGCAGCAAGTGAGGAAGGGAAGATGGGGCAGGTGAAGGAGACTCCTGTGGGCTCTCTACTCTTGGCCCGGTTCCTGTTCCTGGAAGCCCACCACTAGGCAGACGCAGAGGTGTCTCTAGAAGGTGGGGAGAAAGTAAAGATGGCTGAAGATGTGAAAGTCACCTCTGTGGCTCTTCCCAGCTGTTCACAGCAGCACAGAAGGCATAGCATGTCATGAGGCTGCCAGGCACAGAACGGTGCGCAAAATGTTTGCACTGTGAAAATACATCGGCTGTAGCGGCTGCAAGCAAGGTCCCTTTCTAGCCCACATTCTGTCTGAGTTTGGAAGTGTTCCCATGTGGCCACAGTTTCTCAAGAGACATTTTCATGGCCCCAGGACTCAGATCACCACATTCCACTTTTGTAAGTAATACTATTTATTTACACGTGGTCAGAACGCTTAGGGAGATTTATTCATTCACCTGCTGAGTTCGTATTTAAGCATTTTTTTCCAAAGGAACTTGCGATAACATGCATGTGCGTGTGATATTTTATCTTCTCAAGAACCCTGTGAGGTAGGTTAGGTGGATGATCATCCAGTAAGAATGAAAGGTAAAAACTCCAGCTTGTTCAGTGCTTTTCCACTGCACCGATTGCACATACACTTACAACCTTAAGTACATACATGCATTTTTTGTTTGTGGTCCTTCAGGTCCTCCGGTGAGGTGAACAAGACTTTAAGTCCTGCAACTGAAAAAGGAAACCATGGAGACACTAAAAATGAGCAATATAAAGAAAGCACGACCCTGCAGATCAGAACAGCAGTGCCAGGGCCCCACCAAGAGTTACAGATCACCACGAGGGGCACTGAGGAAACCCTCCAGAAAGATGTACCAGAAAGTGGTGTGGATTTTTCTGAGATGAAGCAAGAAAGAGAGACAAGCCACTCTCACAAAATCCCTCCCAAAGTGATAGAAGCCCCTAAAGCACACTTCATTGAGGTGCCTGCTTTCACTGGGGGCCCTGGAGACGCGCCAGGCCCCACGGTTGAGCTGCAGTTGTCCCTCTCGTATGACAAGCGCAACGGCAGCCGTGCTGCCGGGCTGGCTGTCCTGGGGGCCGAGCAGGGCAAGCCTTCTGAAACAGGACCCAGCCTGCCCCAAGATGGGACCAGCTGGGTGGCTGCAGCCCCTGCCACAGAGAAAGATCCTTCAGTCCAGTGGTCGAGCAGGGCATTCCAGATCGCTGGTGGCAAGCAGGTCAAAGCAGCCCATGGAGCCGAGACGCAGGAGCCCTCCCTCGCCAAGGTGGAAGTGATCCTGGACTGTTCCAGCCGGGCAAAGGAAGCCTCCAGGTCTCCGACTGAAAAGGGGGGTGTGGATTCTCAAGGGGAAGGAGGGCAGTCGGAAGCACCTCCTTCTGTCGTCTCCTTTGGAATCTCATCAGAAGGCACAGAGCAGAGAGAAGACGACCAGCACTCTGAAAGGGAACACAGCAGACCTCACAAACACCGGGCCAGGCACGCCAGTAAGTATATCACAGCTGAACAGGGGCAACACGCTTGAGGGCTGTCTTTTGTAACAGATCCTTCGGAGCTCAGTTGCATTCATGTGCTTAGGATGAATGTGTACCCTTAAAGACATGTGTCCTAGCATGTTCTTACTCCCTGCACTATCTTATTCTTTTTTTAAAAAAAAAGTCCGCCAATTTTTATTAATTTGACAGTGCTTTTTGAAACTCTCTAATCATTAAAAAAAAAAAAAAAGCAGGAACTCATCTGGTTTTCTACCTAGGAAGCATGATTTGCAATTTAATCCTACCCTGCTTTTGTGCAAGACTCAGAGGTTAATTTGCCACTTTTAACAAAAAATACTTGCGTGTGGTGATGATCTGCTGAGCGTCTTTAGAAAGACTTGGAAGGCAATTTGACAAAAATCATAGCGGAGGAGAGAAATGCTGTCAGGCATCTCATGGCTTGTTTTGGGTTTTGCCATTTACAAAGAAAAACTGCATTTCATCTGGAATAAAGAGGCATCTTTAAAAATGCAAATGATGCTACTTCTATTAAAAGCCAAGATGGATTTTAAAAAAGAAAGGAAGAAAGAAAGGAAGGAAGGAAGGAAGAAAAGCCTTGTAGTGAAGCTTGATGATGCTTGCAGAAAGTCACTTTGACAGACACCAGCATGTGTATTTTTGGCTAGTTATATGATACTTTTAGTTTTGCAAGGCTTCCCTAGACTGTAAAATGAACTTACTATTCCTTCTGCCTTCCATACCTGGAGGTCAATGAAAAAATCATTCAATGCAAGGGCTTTAATTGGAAGTAAACTGGATGACAAGTAGTAATACCTCTATGAAGTCTTAACTCAGACGGTGTTTTTCTCAAAGCATCTGTTTATCAGTTTAGTTCTATTACTGGCCCCTGTGCAGTCATTCCTGACTATTTCAAGAATTCTGTCAAGGGATTTCACCACAAAATGGCAAAGGCAGCATAATATACTGCAGCACTGAGCTCTCTTACACAGACTGCATGCTGGCCCATTACTAATTCCTCTGTTAGCATATTTTTAGAATTATAGCCATTTGTATTGCTATGTGGATTAAACCGTTAGCTATGCTTAAAGTGTCCACATGTAGCCCTCATATTTATGGCTTGTTAAATGGCATATAAAGGCATGCTTTGCATTTTGGCAGTGAATCCGACAGCAACTGTAGGGTCGTGTCTGTCAGATTACACCCTTGGTTTAATTAGGGAGGGGAAGAACTAAAAAATCGAATATGCAAATATATTGGTTCAACTATATTCAAATTCAACTATAATTTGAATTCATTCAGATCAAGTGATGGCTTTGAAAAAAGAAATCCATTCATTTCTTTTAAAACATATGTTGGTTCCCTAACAGTCACTTCAAATTTAGTTATGTCCAACAGGGCTAATGTGCATCCAATGAGTTTTTAAAATGATTTTGGCAATTATAGCAGGCTACTATGCCCATTCCATATCACCAAATGCCTTAGAGATTGCCCGCTCTGTCAAAGATATTTTTCCATGAGATACAGCGACTGCTCTTTGAGAAATCTAAGCCACTTGGGCAGGTGCAATATGTTCTCTGGTTCCTGGCATTTTCTGGCACAAAGTTATACTACAGTGGGCAGTGCTTATACTGCTTCAGAAGTTAATTGGGATGGTAAATTCAGGACTGACTCTACCATTAGACTGAAAAAAGTGGCTGCCTCCAGCAGTTGATAAGGAAGCAAATTGTTGCTGCTTTAATTCATTATTGCTGCCGTTTTACTGGCAATGAGGAGGGCCCAAGCACCCAAGTAATTTTTCTGGCCTTTACTACATGCCTTGCCTCTGGGATTAACAAAAATGCCTCATGTGATGCTGTGCCACAGGCAGCAAAATGTCTTGGGCTGCTCCTGTCCTGGCCTACAAGCCAGCCTGTAAAACAACAGGCCACCTACCAGCTGTCCATGATAAGGTCAGCTGTGCATTATAAGATTCTATACTTTACCACTCAGACTGAAGGCTGCTTTAGCAATGTGAAGGTATGTAAAATAAGGAAGGAGAAAAAAAGTTTTCCTTGAATTTTTCAGAAAAATTAGAAAAGGGGAAGTTTCTTTCCTATTTTGCCCAGAATACAATTCTAAAATTTAGTGAGCACTCAATCGTATACATGTTTCCTTAGAATTAATTCCCCTTGTTATCAGTGAGACTTGCTGTCAGGCAAGCAAGCTTAGGATTCTGTACGCCTGGCTTTCAATTTCCTGCTATGGCAGAGGTAGTTTTCCACTACAGAATAAGTGCATATTTGCACTAAAGTGTAGATCTACATGTATAAAAGTATAAAATAAATGTGGAAAGAAAGAAAAATAATTTATTTAGTATAAAGTAATTTATCTCATTACAATTCTTTAGCAATTGCCTCAAAGCGAATTACAAGTTTCTGTCCTCTGAAGCTCTTTTAAAAATAGTTATTCACAACCTGAGTACCTGTGAATTGTCATCATTTTAACAATTTAAATTGGCATCACTAATCACTAATCCTGCTTCCAAGATTAGGCAGGATCAGGCACTTCAGGTTATACGGATGCTATTATTTTCAGGCTATATGGATGCTATTATAAGACCTAAGACATGAGTCATTCTAACATCATACATCATTTTGGAAGTTTCTGACTGTAAACTTGAGTGGGGGAAACTCCCTTGAGTGAGAGCAACAATTTGAAATGAATTCAGGAATCTGAAAGTGCAGTTAGTATCCTTAACTGTGCGATTCTCTCCTTAAATGAGATGAGTCTTGGATGATACTGCCCTACGTACAGTCTTCCTTTTCTGCCTCTATTTGCAGACATTCTTGTGATTTCTCTTGTTCTGTATTTAGCAGGAAAATGGCACTGCATTCTGCAGGAACAGATATGCCACTGTTGGCCAAGGTCCAAATTTAGGTATGGGGGCTTGGTCACTATCAGTGGGGAATTTCCCTCTTTTTTTCTTTGACAGCAGACGGCAGTGCCTCCTCATAGCCTGCTTTAAAACCTTCTCCATTGCACATGTGGTTTACTATGAATCATGGAAGGTTACAGTTGAAAATAGAAAGCACAAAAGTCAAAGAACAAATACAAACGGAGGCTATTCACAACTAATTGCACCTTAGTAGGCATACCAGCATGTTTCCCCCTTTCCAGCCTGGCTTGACTGAAAAGGAAAAATTCTTATGGAATGATTTCAGACGGTTCTATAACAAGATATCCAATCATTTACAGTAATAGTTTCACACCATCAGTAATCCACTGGATGGCCCAGATCTGCTTGCTCCCGTTGAATATGACCTTTTCAATTCAATGGGATCAAATCACACCCTGGTTTTTAAAAGCGGGTGGGCAGGAGAGGCTATAGTACAACCAGTGGTAGCACAAAGAGTATATTAGCAAGACTTAATCTAGCTACTTATGTGAATGTGCAGTCTGCTCCATCCTGAATACTTAGCATATGCAGCATGTGTCAAATCAGATAGAAAGTGGTAAATGAATAAAAAGAAAGGTATTTGCCCATCAAAATAAGCTCTTTGGTAGTTGATGCATTTCACTATTCACTAAGTGCCAGCTAAACTGCCATTTGATGCTCCCAGAAAATATTTAGAATTGGCACATGTTGTTCATTCTATGAACACTTATAGAAAAAAAGGTAATCGTACACTCTCTAGAGTCTATAGGAGATAGCAGGGCCATCAGGGTCATGCAGTAGGTGAGGGCTGCATGCAACTTGCAAGATGTGGTTACTGGCTCCTGCTGTAGACCAAGAGCCAATAATGTTATTTCTCATGTGCTGTTACCACATTACCCAAAGAAACCTCCCCTCTGGCACTCAAGCAGACTGTTCCTGCAAATGTGCCTTCATCTGCTTTTTCCAACAAGCAGTGTCCTCTTTTGAGTTAAGGAAGCTATTTACTACTGATCGACTTAGTAGATAGATTCCCAAGCTGTGTCTCGGAGAATGAATGCTGACGTCAACATCCATCATGCATCCACATGTCTGTGGCAATTCTGATTTATCGTCTATCTGATGCTGGCTTATATACATACACGCAGAGAAGTAGATATGTAACATCAAACGCTCTTGTAAGTTGAGCTAGCAGACCCGTAAGGGGAAAAAACATGTTCAAAGAATGTCACTCAGGGAGGAATGATTGCTATGGAATTTTTACCATGATTGGAACTGTGGGAAAAGATTTATTTTAATGTCCTGCCCATGCGCCTTGGCATAAAAGAGGATTCCCGCTCTAGAGGAAGAAAGCTTAGTATTGCAGCCTCGCATCCCAAATAGCTATTGTGTGGCTTATAGTTAAAATTTCTCTCATGTTACATTGCACTCTGCACTGAAATATGTGCCTTCGTCTTTTTCCACAGGGCTCAGGCGGAGTGAGAGCCTGTCAGAAAAGCAAGTGAAAGAAGCCAAGTCTAAATGTAAGAGCATCGCCCTACTGCTGACAGCAGCTCCAAATCCCAACTCCAAGGGGGTGTTGATGTTCAAGAAGCGTCGCCAAAGGGCCAGGAAATATACGTTGGTCAGCTACGGTACTGGGGAGCTTGAGCGCTACGAAGACGAAGAAGACGAGGGTGAAGAAGGTGACAAAGAGAACGCATTTGAAGTAACCTTATTAGGCACAAGTGAGTCAGAAATCGATGAAGATTTCTTCTCTGACCTTGAAAAAGAAGACCGGATTGTGACATTTGACTGGGACACTGGGATACTCGAGGTTGAAAAGAAACCAAAAAGTGGGGACGAGATGTCTCAGCTGCTTCCAGAGAGCAAGGGCAAAGGGGCAGTCATGTTTGCCAAAAGACGTCAGCGGGTGGACCAGGTCACTGCTGAACAAGAGGCAATGAAGATGCACACAGTGCTGAGCAGTTCCGGGGAGCACCGAGAGGCTACATCAATGGAGAACGCCCAAAGAATGAGTTCTTCATATCAGGCAAAACACGAGGAAATGTCCAGAGTTCAGCAGAGCCATGTAAGCAAAAGCTACATAGAAGTGAGCCACAGGCATGGCCCAGCAATTCAGCAAAATGGCATTGGGGCCCTTCCTGAGGCAAATGTAATTTATCCATCTTCGGAACCCCTGAGATCAGCTGCTTCCAACAGAACAGCCAAGCCTTTCCCTGGAGTACAGAACAGGGCAGCAGCTCCATTTTCACCCACCAGAGGCATGGCTAGCCCCGTCTCAGATCTACCTGCACCACCTCCTTACACTTCAGTCAGCCCGCCACCAGAAACCTTATATAGAACTGTTTTAACTCCAGTTGCCACCAGCACGATTCAGTCAACTCTGTGGTCTCCAACAGAGTTGACGGAGCAGATCGCTTCCAGGGATGAAAGGATTGCAGTGCCTGCCAAACGAACTGGCATATTGCAAGAGGCAAAAAGAAGAAGCACTGCAAAGCCCATGTTCACTTTCAAAGAAGCCCCCAAGGTGAGTCCTAACCCTGCTCTTTTGTCCCTTGTGCAGAATTCGGAAGGGAAAAAAGGTGGTGCTGCTGGCTTTGAATCTGGCCCTGAAGAAGACTACCTCAGCTTGGGAGCAGAGGCCTGCAATTTCATGCAAATCCAAGCAGCTAAACAAAAGATTCCACCACCAGTTGCTCCAAAACCCTCTCTCAAGGTTTCTCCTACTGCTACAACACCCATTTCCCCAGTCTGGTCGCCACCAGCGATGGCGGTTCCCCAGTCGCCTGTCTTTCCAGCTCCAAATTCACCTGTGGCAAGTCCAACCATTATCAAAATAGCACAGCCTGCTTATCCTCCTCCACAGCCGCCCACTACACTGAACCTAGCTGGTCCCATAGCATCACCACACCAAAATTATACACCTAAAACAACACCCGTTACACCACTAGGAGGTGCTGTGGTTGCTGGAGGAGTGGGGCCAGCTTTTGAGATGCCCCCTGCTTTTAGTGGGAAGGGAGCCCAGCTCTTTGCCAAAAGGCAATCCCGAATGGAAAAGTATGTGGTAGACTCAGAAACTGTACAGGCCAATAGGGCACAGGCCTCTTCACCAACTCCCTCTTTACCAGCTTCTTGGAAATATTCATCGAATGTTCGAGCACCTCCACCTGTGGCTTATAATCCCATCCATTCCCCATCTTACCCTCTGGCTGCTACCAAGCCACAGTCCAAGTTCCCAGGAGCTGCCAAAGCTGCCAAGAAAAAACCTAAGAAAGCAATGAGTTCCTTGGAAGTTATGAAGCATCAACCATACCAGCTCAATGCATCCTTATTCACTTTTCAACCTCCCTCTGGCAAGGAAGGCCTACCTCCTAAGCAACCTGCAAAGCTTGACTCACCATCTGCCTCAAAGCAAGCTCTACCTTCAAGATTGCTGAATGCCAGCTCTCCTTCTAATGTCCGAGCATCTTCAGTATACTCTGTACCTGCCTACAGTTCACAACAGTTCCTCCCTTCGAATGCCTCTAGTCCCGTAATTGAATCCTGTGCATCCTACCCTGCTTTTTCGAAGCAAGAACCAGTGGTATCCTCTATGTTTACTACTCCCAGGCCAAAGTTCTCAGCCAAGAAAGTTGGTGTCACAGCACAGGTGTGGAAACCCTCCACCATTGAAGAGTAAAGCTTAGCTACAACTCAGTATTCACTTTGCTTGCAATGCATTGTTTGTGGTAGTGATCTGGCACCTGAAGCAACTCTCTGCTTACTTAATAATATATCATATGAAATTTGGGTCCAAAAAAGGCTTAAGTCTGAAATCCTATGCACAGTTGCCTGGGAGTAAGCCCACTGAACACAATGTGCCATACTACTGAGTAAATAGGCACTGGATTGTGCAGTAACTGCTTTTAAATGAATCAAAAAGATATTAATCTGAGATGGCACTCATCTGTGCATGCAGTGATCTTTAATACGGAGGCATGCCCTCACACTGTCCTAAATGGACATGTGCCATTCAGTATTAAGTAAGCAGGATGTGAGGTGTTAGTGCTTCAGTACACACATACACAGTGAACGCTGTTCCTGTATTTCAACAGTTAGAACGTAGCTTTCACAGGTGCCTTTTGGGAAGGAGGGGGAAGATTGTTTTCTGCTGGCCAAAAGGTTCAATGATGCCAACAGTTTAAGGATCCTAGATTAATTTCTAAAAGCGCCTTCTAATATTATGCCTCTTGTAAATGTCATGTACAAAATAGGTATACAGAATATCAGGTCCAACTCTGCAGTTGAATCATTAGGGTGAATCACCATCAGAGCCCTCCTCAAAGCCTCACGGATCTTAATGAGATAGGGGGCTTTTCCCCCATGGCAGCCACATGTGTAAAAATGACTTATTTCTTTTTGTACACCCACCATCAAAATTTGGATCTGGAAAGTTGTGCAGTCATAAACAGAGCTTCCTTGATTCCCAGGTGACAAGCGGACCATATATAGTCACCTTGATACTGTGTCTATGTTTTAATATGCTCCCATCATCTCATCATCCCATTATTCCATAGCCACAGGACAATACTTTATGCAACTGAGCCCTGATGGTTCATCTTTGGTTTAGTTCACTTAAGATTCTGTTGCAGAATTGGATTCTTAGAGAGTCAGCTGAGGCTTCCCTGTGACCCACAATCATGGATTACCTCTTTGATTTCCCTCTACCCACCAAGGTGCCTGTTGAAAGTAAGTATTACATGTTTAGAAGAAGAAAGACATTAGGAGAAGAAGCTTAGGCTGGAGAGGTTGGTAGAAGTTTCCCATTTTAAAGGAAAAGTTGACTTCTTCAGTGCTAGCACACTTCTTGGACAAGCGAATGACCTATGATGGGAGAAAGACAATTGGAATGATTGAAGAGATAGGAAGATAAGCTGTGTTCTACAGTTATGGAAGTGGTGCAATATGTTCTTGTGAAAGTGTAGTGGCTAAAATCTAAAGGGACACATTCTTGAATACCAGTTTTTCAAACAGAGCAATATACGTGCCTTAAAAAAATGTCTAATGATATGCCACGATTCCTGACCTCATCTTTCTGCTGATCACTTGGGCACATTCTTGTTTTTGCTTTGGGCTTTCTAAACCTGCTTCTTCCACTGGTATTTCTTTTTACTTTGTTCTTGCCCTTTCATCCTACTTTTGATTAATACACTGTGGACCAGGAGGATCAAGACACTGTTACCATGCCAAGTTCTGCTCAGTCTACTGGGCTATATTCTGCCACTTTGATTTATGGCTGATATAATACATGCAAGAACAATATTTGTCATGGCCAGCAATTCAATAGTTATATGGATTGTTGTCTGAGTGCTTCAGCAATAATTGGGTACAAATCAGCCTACCCCTGTAAACCATGGTTTGTTTGCACATTGACAAAATTGTGTGTGGGTAGATTCTTCCCACTCTTCCAATGAAAATTTAGAGTGAGGACTTTAATTTCTGGTCATGAATAGAAAAATGCTGTAGCTAAATGACTCTCACAAAATAAATGATATCAATTCATTTAGGATCTGGAAAATTATTTAGCTGGACTGAGACAAACAGACAAGGTGGTAGAGTGACTGGTCATGTGGATGCCCAGACTAATGATGAGCAAATTCTTGAAAGTCTAATTTGGAAATAATTGGGACCTACGTCAAGGTTCATATAAAACTGCTGCATGGTCCATGTAGCTCAAAATTGTCTATTCTGTCTGGCAGTGGCTCTCTGGTGTCTCCAGCAGAGGTTTTCCCCATCACCTACTACCTTTTCTTTCAATTTTAGATACCAAGGAATGAATTTGGGATAATTTGCACACAAAGCATGTGTTCTGCCACCTTCCCACAAAATTGGGGCAAACCAAACTCTTTACTGAACATCCAAATGGAGTCCACCCCAGTAGACATCCAACTGCATTCTCCCCTTAGAGACCCTGGGGCTTGATGTGAAGTCCTGGAGGCCACAAACCCTCCAATGGTCATAACACCATGAACTGGTCTCTCCTCAGTCCTTCCCCTTTGCATTGCTTTCTGAGCAGTGGGCAAAAAATGGAGAACCTGAAGTTCTGCCGGGCTGGAGATCACACGGCACGTGGCCCCATTTGTTATTCGTCGTTCCTTGAAGCCCTTTAAAATGTGGAACAAGTTGTGCCCTGACTGCAGCCCAGTTCTCACAAACAGTCACCACAGACATGGCTAAAGTTAAAGCAATGCAAGAAGAACACAAGCTGCAGTGGTTCCCGTGCCACTGGAATAGTGTAAGTTTCAAAACGCTTCTGATTCGATACTTCTGAAGTATCCTACACTGGCAAACAGAGAAAACCTGCCTGCCCTCTTCCTCACACGACTTCTAGGGGTCAAAATCACTTTCATGCAATGCATCCTGATTGCTTAGGAGGATATTTTCCATAGTGATTAATTTGTGTGATCAGGGATAACAAGGGAGCATGCACGGATACCTGCGCAGCTTCCTGGATTCCCACTGTGACATGGTACCATAAGTATTATTACTGCACTGCATTTATTACTTTCCCTTTTCCCTCTTGCCAGAAACCAAGGGAGCTTATATAGCCCTCCTCTACTCCAGGCTATCCTCAGAACAACAACCCTGTGAGGTAGGTTAGTCTGAGAGTGAGTTACTGCCGCACAGTCACCCAGTGAGTTTCATGGCCACATCAGAACTAGAGCTTAATTCCCGGGTCTCCAGACTCAAGCCACCACATCACACAGGCTCCCCCAGAAATACCTGACAAGACATCATCCCCATAGAAGGTCACCATCATCAAAACCTCCATGTGAGTGGGGGCCGTGGCAATGGAGGGTCGCTTTCCTCACATTGCATGGATGCCATGTTGACGGTGTGATGTTGAAAGGCAGGCCACCTTCAGAAAATTAAGGAAGTGTGAAAGGGTGCACACCTGGGGAACATTTGAAATGTTTGTTCATCTTACACAATAAAAGCAAGCATTCCTTGACATGCAGGCCTTAACCAGATTCCTGGTGCAAATGGAAGAAATCTCGGCAATTAGTTCCTAGATTTAGAACAGGGGTGGGCAGAAAGTAGATATCTGATGTTTGGATTCCAACTTTCCTGACCATTGGCCATGCTGGCAGGGGATTCTGCGAGTTCAAGTCCAACACATTAGGATGTATCTCTTCTGCTCACTTTTGATCTAGAAGATACATGATCAAGAAACCTATTGGTTTCAATGAGGCTTTCAACCAAAGTTCAGAGTGTTATTTGATTTAGTCTATACAGGAAGTCAAGGGTGACTATATTAATTTTAAGAAACCAGCCCATTCTAAATTGAAATGTACACAGAGGATTATTTGTGCACAACATAATATGGTACCAATATTTTAATCCTCTTGAGATCTTTCTGTTCATTTTCCAAACACAATCTGCTGTATTTTCTCTAACATTAAAATTGTTCCTTTCTTCTGTACTTGTTCTTTTTCTTTGGTTTCATGTATTTTATCTGAAATTAAAATATAGGCTAGATTTCCTTCCCTCCTTCCTATGGCTACAATTGCTCAAAATGCCATTATGAAGAGGAAGTTAAGGGGCAGATATACCTGGAAGGAAAATTAAAGGGGAATTTCTTTTCTGAATCCCTCCAATTGTCTTTTGAGCTTCCCTTCTCCTTTCTACTTGCTAATCTCTCTCTTAAATGCTGAGCAGAGGAAGTCATCAGAATGATGTCCTAAGCTGATGCCCCATCTTGGGAGAACATCTCAGAAATGTGTCATCATTCTTCCCTGGTTTGCCCTCCTAAGAGTGGACACATTTCTGGCATATCAGAGTTGCTGACATTCCACTCTGCGCCTCAGGGCACGCTTCTCCTTTAAGCAAGGTGAGTTGACCCCATCATATTTGTTGGAGCTGGAATGCAAATTGGGTTGGCATGCTGGGATCCTGTGAACACGCAGCAGAAAGTCTGAATGGAAATAAATTACTCTGATCTCGTTCACACACAACACTCCAATGTGTTGAGTCAACATGAGTGGCTTTTTCAGTGGCTCTGATGAGTCCAGAACATTTGGATACCTCTGCTTCTGGCTTGAGCCAAGGAACAGTTGTAATTTGGGTATGTGCTGGAGATTTGCAACAGTTAATCATTCCATACAAATAAATGTGTATCGGATTGAACTTGTTAAATGCATAAATGCATCTGGTGTTACACTCCATAAAAACAATGTCTGCTTAGATTTTCAGTTCCTGCAGTTAAAACAAATGCCATTTTCAAAACCAAGATGACTTTTAAGAAAGAGGTATTTACATTTAAAGGATATTTTCTGAGAACTGTACTATTGGTGCACCTATATATTGCCATGACACAGGGAAGCCCTGTCCTCTTCCTAAGATGGGAGGAGAGCTTTAGATGCTTTTCATTTTTAAGTATACAGGGAATGAGTTGCAAAGGGGCTTGGTAACAGAATACAGTGCCTCTCACCTCTTGTTCAAATATGGCCTAGGACAGGAATGACTGAAAGCCATGACCAGCTGCTGACTCGTATGAGTGACATCAGGCAATGTCAACTGTCAGTCCAATTTAGCCCCACACACAAGTGCAATCTGAATAAGAATTAAATATCATTTTTAAGGGAAAATTCAGGAGGGCCCAGGAAAGTT